AAATATTTTTTAGTTGGTTCTGGAGGGTAACTGTGATCTTCTAGACATGAGATCGTAAGCTAAGTCTTTCCTAAAAGTGCAGTTTTGCTGTTTAATACTTTTTCTAAAAATGTAATTCTGTGTCTTCCCTTCAGATTAACCGGCGGCTCTGTTAACATCACCAGCACCTCCTTGACCAGTTGTGAACCCTCATTGTTGATCTTTTTCAGCCTTCACCTTAAGCCCTGCTCACAGCCCTGCTATACAGCTGGCTTAGCTAGTTTTATAGTTTCAGGGATTTTTTTGTTGGCCTCTAATCAAATTTGGCTGTATTTGCGGAGGCAGCCTGGGCTGTTGGTTCAGTGCATGTAGCCTTGATCAGTGGGCCCAGTCAAGGGCTCTGTCAGGATGCTGGCTGACTTGCTTTGCTCTCTGGCATCAGTTGGAATGGACTTCCCCTGTCTCTGCATTCCAGCAACACGCTGACCCACCGGTGGCATTGATCTGTGCTGGTTTTGCTTTTTAGCTTGCAGCTGTAACAACCTGTTTGCCGTAGACATGGACAAATTGACCGTTCTGCCAGGAGTATAAATACTTCCACCATGAACTGTTTTCTCTGTAAAACAAGTTTGTTCTGCAGTTTAAATTGATTTAACCATGGGACTTAAACCTTCGCTAACACAGCGTGATCATTTTGTTTTTATCTTTTCCTTCGGTCATTGATTTCTATCAGTTCTGGATGCTTTTCTCTTTCGTGGTCATGGCTTTGTGTTAGAAATCTAGCCTGTAAATGCCTATAAAAAGTCGACTCACGTGTCCAAGTAGGCATTCATCATTCAGGCACAGCTGTGATTCTTTTTCCTCCTAAAGAAAAGCATCTGCTTTGGTTTGCTTTTTCTAAACTAATTAGGACTTTTATCATTTCAGGCACTGATGCTGAAATGGAAAGTTTGGGCTCCAGCCAGTATTCCAGCCAGGAGCTTTACATGGAGTCTGGGAGCCCTGAAGATGCAGATCAGGGTTGGATGTCCTGGGCTTGGTCCTTTGTCCCTGCCATCGTAGGAGCAGAGGAAGAAGGGGAGGGAGGCCTCTACAGCCAGGGGGAAACTGAAGGCCTTTCCAACAACCCTCAGCAGCACACGTCTAAAGACCCCATTGTTTCCATAGGCTTCTACTGCACCAAAGCTTCGATAACCTTCAAGGTAAATTTGCTAAAAGCACAACTGCTTCACTATGGATCACAGTTTAAAATGAAAAGGTTGTTTATGGCTGAACCGATTTCACACCTATTTAAGTTGTCCTTATGTAAACACTGTTCTCTTTTCTGTCCCACAAACTCCCACAGGATGAGCACACATTCATTTCCCCTTGCTTTGTAAAGCATCAAAGAGGGTAGCGTAGCTAACAGATGCTGTCTCTAGTTATATCATTGTTTCAAATGTTAACAGAAAGCAAAATATTTATAAAAATCTGCCAAAATGTAAAAGTTTCAGGTCTTAACACTAAATAATTGGAATTCCTGCACAATTATGCCGTAGATATCAGATTACTAGTAGTGTGCATATTTCTTCTCTTATGGTAGTGCACACGTGTATGTGTGTGTGCTCACATATCTCAAACACCACCTCTGTGTGCATGGCGGTGCGTGTGTGTGTGTGTGCACACATTTGACAGTGTGTGTGATTATTGGAAGGGAGCTAGTTCTCAGGCCACATAAACCTTGGTGTTTTTCTAATGTTTAAACTTTTCCTGTATTGTTTGAGTTCTTTTAATCAATTAATTGCCTCTCTTTTGGAGTAATTGCAGGCAGCTGAAAGGAAGAGTTTTTTTTTTACATTCTTGTTTCTTTCCTAAAGGAAGCATTTAGTTTGAAGCAATTTTACGTCTTTGAACAGCCACTGCCTGAACATGACTTTGACATGAATGTGAAATGAGAGATGTATTTTTAGATCCCTGACACACTACTTCCAAAATGCCTTTGATCATTGGGGAAAAAGGCAGTGTAATTTTTTAACTTTTAGACATTATTCATCAATTAAGCTCGGTCAGTTGTTTCCTTTCTTTGTTTAAGCACCTGTTGAATTCCTACTGGATGCCAGATTTAATGTCCTTTTACTAGATTTATCTACCCATCCATCTTTCTGTCTGTAACAGTATATTTTTCAGTTTCGGTTGATATGATACAGTGATCATATCTTTATATCCCTTGATATCTTTAAAAACCCTTTACAACTGTCCCTGGCCCTGTACTACATAAATATACACTAAAAAAATTCTATATAATTAAGTACATTTTTCTTGAAATAAGTATACCGTCCCTTGATTTGAGCAAGCTAGAAGATTTGCCACTGGAATTAGAGGGTTTATAAAAAAAAATAAGAATAAAATTATTTCAAGTGCATAATATTTATCTCATTTTTAAGAGCAAAAAATCTTTTATTTTGGCAGATTTTCATAATTACCTACTTAAATTAGGGGGGAATGGAGTTATTTAAATACATTTTTAATAATTCAATATGACGATATGTGCTGATAGAAGAGACCGTAACTGATTTATCCTTTGGACCAATTTTAATATTTACTTTAATCCTCATTTAAAATTTGCAGTTACTGTAGCTTAAATCTTCAGTCTTTCAAATAGTGAATCTAAGTTTTCATCTGTCAGATCAGGATTCTGCAACCTTGGCTTAGATATAATAATCAATGCGCTCTTCCCCTGTTTGTTTGTTTATTTATTGTTATGTGCCCCCATAAAATAACCCCCCCCCAGTCCAACTTGTAAATTTTGTCTAGAACCGCCACATTCTTCACATTCATTTGTCAAGTTCTTCTGCAGAGCACAGATATGTACACACACACGTATTTAAATATGTTTTTGTGTAGTTTTACACGTTTAAATTTCTCTGCTGATCGTTTACTTGTTTTTTTTTTTTTATGAGATTCATACCTGATCAGAAATTCTTAACCAAACTGCAATTGACTGTAGCCTGTTTTTATGCTACTAATATTTACTAGGGGTGGAACGGTT